GTTATGTTATAACAGTTGATTTCATGTTGCTTAACAATTGGTATGTTATTATTTTGTTGTTACATCGAGGTTTTTTAGTTCATCGTATTATGATTTTTTGCATGACTCGAATTTGTCTGTATGTATCGGATTTTATTATTATTGATGTTGTTAGTTTTGTTTAACAAATCTTTCTATTGGTTTTATTTTTTTTTTATTTTTTTTAGATAAGAACATTCTGTACTGAAGGTTAAAGCTGCAAAATACACATCACAAAACAACCTAAGAGTTCCAAATAAAACATGTATTCATAGTCACAAATCTGAAATGAGTGAAATAAGCCTGATCACACAGCAACACAAGGAAGTCAAATTAGTGATTGCTGATTCAACACTTCCCATAACATATCCTCATTCACCATAGCTCTTCTCTTCCGGTAAACTTGACAGCCGACGAACTAAAAAACCCAGGGATAATCCTGAAGAAATCACTTTTTCCTACTGTTGATTCTGAGGAGGAGCATTAGGCGGTGGCATTCCCGGCCTAGGTGGACCAAACATTTGAGTTTGTCCGCCGTGTTGGGTTCGCTAGTACCGTACGGGTGAAACGCAGCGGAATAAAATTTTTTAAAAAACAAGTATTTATCGTATAAATACTCAACCCATACGTACATGTAGCGAATGCACAAATCGTCATCATTTAAAAACATGTAATAATACAAATTTTGATTTGTTATAAGTAAATTAAAATTTACCTTTTATCTTGAACTCCTTCAAAACCGACGATGTATGAGGAAATCAATTCTCGGTTTGGTAACGATAACTTCTTGTGATTATTCACTTTAGGAATACAAATGTCTTCCATCTAATCGTATCCACCTTTTGAACTTCGGTTCCGACAATAGTTTCTTCGCTAGTAGAAACTACTCGGTTTTTCAAGAAGTATGAAATATATATTTATAAGGAAATTTATCAAGAACTCTTTCTTGTTTTATCACTCAACTCTTTGAATGTTTTTCTCTTGAAAGAACTTAGCCAAAAAACTTAGCTATTAATGTGCAAACATTTTACACCTATTTATACTAAACATTTTAGCATAAAATAATCAATACTTGATATTTATTTATTTTAAATAAAATCAGATTTTATTTAAATAATCATACCAAATATTGACTTTTAATTAATAATGTGGAGTGGTTCTTAACCACCATCAACCACCATTATTTTGTCTCTTTATTATTTTAATCTTTAGTCATATTAAAGATAAAATAATAATTCTTGAAAACATTTTTCAAGACTTTATTAAAATAATATTTTCTTCCAATTTTCTTATTTAATAATCATATTATTGTTTGGATTTGAAATTTAAAATCCAATTTTAAATTCCAACTATTAATTAGTAATTCCATTAATTACTAAATTAATATCCAAAATTCAATTAATCAATCCAATTGATTAATTTAATATATTCTTTTAATTGATATCTAATCAAATTAGATTTATCAATTAATTCCAACTCTTTAGAATTACTATTTGAATTTTACCTTCATTCAAAAATTGGCGTGACCTTTTAGGTTCACAATTAATACTAGTAGTGGGTTTACAACACTTTGTAATTTGAGTTAATCTTATTAACTCTTATTCATGAATTAACTCTTTAATTCAAGAACCCACATATCATGGGAACATCTAGCAAGTAGCATGAATCTAGTATTAAGTGAATAGCGAGTAAACCTATTTCGATTACAAGTCCATACATGTAAAATCCTTTCGACATCCAATTTCCCGATTAAATCTTTGGGTATGATTTTGTCGAAACCCATGTTGATTTAATAACTATGATTCCATTTCAAGTTTAGTAATTCGTTTATGAATCTCTATTCATTCTGCCTTGGCCAAGGACTTTGAATTACTAACTATGAAACACATAGGAAATTCACTTATCTTCATAAGTATCGAAACCTTTGTTGGCCACTGACAAACTTCCATACATATTAATATAATACCCACAATATCCCTTTATACGATTGTGCTAGCAACCAAAAGGATAAATCAAAGTAAAATATAATATGCACAAAGTTATCATCGTGCCTCAAGTCTAAGGATTAATCATGTACTATTGTAACATGAAAATTCTTATTCGACATGATAAACTTTCATTAAGAATTTTCAGACGGTCATGTTCAGTGAACTTGTTCTCTAACAAGCACCCACATATATGTATTTGCGTCCCACGCTAATGTTGATGGAATGCAACATTCTTGTCCAACAAGCATACATCATATGTGCAAGTCTTTTCCGGATTATTCGATATCCCATTTCGAAACATCCTACGACTTGGAAATGTATTTAAGATCACAACTTTCAAGGTATGTTCCATGATCACCATCTCTATGCGCAACCATACCTTATAACCATAAGTGATCTAGAAATTTTATCTTAAGTGCAATTATAGGATAAAAGCTTACTCTTAAGATAAAGTAATGTCTTATTAATAATATAATTCCAATAGATTATATTTACAAGTAGAATACATCCAATCCGATTGGAACGTCGGGTATCTTACTCTAACAATCTCCCACTTGCCCTAGTTCCAATCACTCATGTATCTTAGACCTATCTTCTCAAGATGTCCTTCAAACACTTTCTGTGATAAGGGTTTAGTCAAGGGGTCTGCTATATTTTCTGCTGAGTCGACTCGCTCCATTGCGACATCGCCTCTACCGATGATTTTTCTAATCAAATGGTATCGTCTCATAATATGCTTGGATCTTTGATGAGATCTTGGCTCCTTTGCTTGCACAATAGCCTCATTGTTATCACAATAAATCATTATTGGATCAACAACAGATGGCACTACACCCAACCCTTGGATGAAGTTCCTTATCCAAACAGCTTCCTTTGCAGCATCAGATGCAGCAATATATTCAGCTTCTGTTGTGGAGTCAACAATTGTTTCTTGTTTGGAACTTTTCCAACTAACCACTGCTCCATTCAGAGTAAACAAGTAACCAGACATGGATTTAAAGTCATTTTTATCGGACTGAAAACCAGAATCAGTAAAGCCTTCTAGTTTCAGTTCTCCATTTCCATACACCATAAAGATATCCTTAGTCCTTCTCAAGTACTTAAGAATCATCTTAACGGCTTTCCAGTGTTCTTCAACTGGATTAGACTGATATCTGCTCGTTACACTAAGTGCATGAGCCACATCAGGTCTTGTACATAACATCGCATACATTATGCTACCAATAGCTGATGCATAAGGTATATGACTCATCCGTTCTCTTTTTTCAGGTGTCTTTGGAGACATCGTCTTAGAAAGTGAAACCCCATGACTCATTGGAATATATCCACGTTTGGATTTTTCCATGCTAAACCGTTTTAG